ACCCAATAACGTACTTAAGCATATTTTGTAGACCCCAAATTTTAAGGATGTAGTCTCTTAAACCTAGTAACCAACCTCAAAGAACAAAGAAAACTTTAAACACTCTGGCTAAGTGCCTTAAAAAAATAAGGTCTTCAGATAGAATAAAGACCGTCTAACTTTGGAGGGTAGGATCTAGGTATTCAAGATAATTTTTTTTTGATAAATAACCATCTAGTGTTACTTATATGAACACCAAATTTTGGGATTAGAAAAAGAAAAATCATCCCATGTAACTCTCTTTCCTCAAGAAGTTGTTATATAGTATACTCTAGCAGATGTATATATCATATAAACTCTTAAACCATGGGGATTCTTGACACGTTTGGTTTGTGTAAAATTATTTGTTAAAAAATAATTTCACATGAAAAAATTCTCTCATGCAGTCAAGTGAAGGAATATTTCATACCAATTGGTCTTAGTACATCTTTTCATACCAATTAACTACAAATTGATATAAAAATATTTCTACATTTGGCCACCTGAGAGACATTTTTTATGTGAAAATATTTTCTAGAAAACATTTTTATACGAACCAAACGTGTCATTAGTTTTAGTCTTGTTCTAATAAGAGCACGAAGTTCCACCATGAAAGTCCATTGCTCATCTTAATTTTCAATTAAAGTAATCATTTTTCATCCCTAATTTGTATTAAAATCTAACGTGGGCAAGGGCAACATATATATAAGGTTGTAGTTCGTATAAAGCTGAGGCCCTAGACAATCAAACTAAAGCACACCTTTGAATAGTATTTAAATACATTATTTCATTACTAAGAATCTTTGTGGTGGCATGAAAATTTATTTTCATCTCTAATTATATAATTTAAAGCTTCAAAAATAGTGTATATTGAGCAGATATATGAACACTTGAAAATTGATAGTAAAAAAATATATTACAAGATGCACCATTTTCAACATTTGAAATTCATGTCCATACATCTTGAGATTGAGATGATCAATTTGAGGATTTTTTAACATCAAAACAACTCCTTCTAGTGAATTTTTTATGTGCACGTTAATTTGGCTCTTTGGGCTCTCACCCTTATATAAACTTTTTCCTTTAGAATAAAAGCGATGCATTTTCAATGAGTCTCAATACTCATATGTAGAAATGTACCCCCTCTTAATAGTATATTTGTGGAATGGATTTTGGCCTTAATTTCAAGGAGTATATAATCTTTAACATGCAGATCATTGTTATATAACGGTAAATGAACTTTAAAAACTAAAATAATAACTTTTGAAATAAATATTTAGACTATCTGGTTTAATTTATTTTGCAAGACTAAAATTTATATTCATCTTGATGGTTTGTGCCTCGGGGGACGCAAATGTAGGAATGCGTCCCCTAATGCATATAACACTTTGCATGTCTAATTGAGATGCAGCTCGAGAATCACAACGTCAGAAATTTATCTCATTAAGAACTATAGGTAGAGTAAGGATTGTGGGAAAGCAGGGGGGGGTGGTTCGACAATAAAGGAGACGACATTGGAATAATTAAAGATAAAAAAAAAGGGGTTCAGATTATATGCGGTTGTAACGTTATTTTTAAGAGATTGTTATAAGACCATTTATATTTGGTATAAGGAGGTCACAATTATTTATAGTTATTTGATGTGAAATCTGAGAGCATAGATGTGTCCCAAAATTTGAAATTTTTTTCTTTTAACTTTGAAGAATAAATGTAGCTATCTAATTTCACATCCAATGGTCAAGATTAATTATGACTACCTTGTACCAAAGATAAATGGTTTTATTGTACACTTTTTCTATTTTTGAAAGCAAGAATGCAATGTTCCACACTAACTATTTTTGTTGGACGATATAAATTTCACATATTTTTTAAAATACTACAAAAAAGTGACAACTATTTCAAGATAATAACGACTATCTATATTGTTCAAATAAAATGAATGGTACATAAAACATCCCTACCTTCTACACACACAAGGTTGCTACCTTATATAAACTTTCAATAAAATATTAAAGGGCGAAGTTTAAATGAGTTCTTAGAGATGAAACTTACTTAAATATGGCCCCTTTCTAAAATTTTATCTTAGATTTGAATTTATTATAGGAAATATATCTTAAATATCATATTAAACATAGTTTCAGGAGCTAAAATATATCTTACGCCAGTATAGATGCATTTTTACTTTAAATTCATGATCTTTTTTGTTATATAGGTAATTCAATGGGTATGACGAGCTCTTACCCATTTTCTAAATCTTTAGTGGTTGTTCAATGTGTTATGTGAGAATGAAAACCTAGATCTTAATTGGAATATAAATAGTATAAATCTAATAATTTATGATAATTACAATGACTCATGGTAAATCTTTTAAAAATAAAATTCAAAATAATATAGTTTGAAGATTCATTTAGATTTATTACCCTTGTAAAATATTAAATCCAAAACCCGATTCTTAAAATGGAAGGAAAGAGACTCGTCGGAAATTATTTTAGAAAGTCAAAATGTAAGCAAATTTCATTATGTGACTTTGAAAGCTAATTATTAGTAAAGAAATTAGCTCTCAATTGTTTTTCTCTTTGTTTTACTAGCCAAGCGCTATTTCCCCTAGCTTTAGATATTTTTCATATATATAATAATAAGCATATTAGATATTAACTTAGCTTCTTCCAAAACTACCCTTTCTAAATCCTTTATTTTGCATTCCAACGTTCTTGTTCCCTTTTGTGCCATTGCAAATGGTGGGTTTTTAGTTTTGAGCAATCTTTATATACTTCCCTTAAAGGATAGAAGTTTTATCTTTCACCTTATTCAACCGTTCCTTCTTTAGATTGCTCCAATTACACTATCAAGATTCTACACTCTTTTATTTTTAATTTTTTTTTTATAAATTATTTTGACTCCAAATTTAAGACATCCACTCCTCTATTAAATTCGCACTAGTGAAAAATAAAAAAAAAATATTTTTAATAAAATAAAATGACCAAAATACCTTTAAAAGCTTCAAGGGATATTTTGATCATTATATTTTATCAAAAATTTATTTTTAATATTTTTTATAGGTACGCTCTAATGAGAAGATGACACGTACCAAATTTCACAGTCATACAATTTGTATAAAAAAACTAAAAATAAAATACTTTAAGATATCAGATCTAAGATCAAATGGTGCGTGGCTCTCTTGATCAAAATTCGATGGTTGGATGGTAGGGGGAGGATAGAACTTCTATAATATAGGGGAAGCATAGAAACTTTTGGGTTATGTCAGTGTATTCATATATGAGTATTTTTTGAGGTACTCAAATATTTGGGTACTTATGCTTCGGCCGCTATGTATAATAACTTATTAGTCTAGGGGTAATTTAGGCAATTAAATTAAAGTAAAGTGGAAATTCTTGATAGAACGAGAAACATTATTAACTACGGCGGATGATATATCATCCACATCAAGTGGAAATTCTTGATAGTACGATAAACATTATTAACTACGACAAATGATATATCATCCACATAAAATGTACCATCAACTATATGAAGCAATAATGACTTCTTAACCATATTAAAATGCTATTAGTTCATATTGAAATATCTATCCTACTTATCCTAATGATAAAAAATAGATTGACTTATAAAATTTTGTACTATAAAACAAGGGGCAACAGGTGGTCCAAAAATATTGTCATCACCGGGGTTGGCTACACGAATCTTAGTTTGTCATTCTTCTCTATTATGGGCCACACCCTCGATATGCCCATAAGTTTCCATATATTTTTTCACTACTTCCAATCATGTATATTTGGGCTTACTTTTTGCCATTTTTGAACCTTCAACTTAAAGTAACTCGATGTGGGTCTATGTAGCACATGGGCATCGCGTGTATTTCATCAAGTCAGGGCAAACAATTGATCCATACCAGCCAGTTCCCTCCACTAGACGAGGGTTGGCCCTCCAGCAGGGGAATTAGGTATCGACAAATGACCAAGGGGCTAACTACTTGATAGATTCAACTGCCAAGTAATGCACTACTGATATGAAGCTATTTATAGTCTACCGTTCATAAGTTTACTTTATTTTATCTAATGCCTATTGGTCTGAAAATATTGAGTACAATAAGAAAATACTCATATACACGAATACCGTGATATAACCCTTGAGTTTTTACTCACGGGAAACTTTCTATGTGACCCTAACAACATATAAGTTATATGTGACATTCAATGTCACGGTAAATATTGTTTTATTTTTTATTTTTTTTTCTACAAAACTTTTTATGTTGAAATTTTGGGAGCCCAATTATTAAATTATGGCAAACCTTGAAAAAATAAATATTTCCCATAAAAAAAATGATTAAAAATACTATGAAATTTTCAACGGTATTATGGTAATTATTTATCACGGAAAATAATTTTTATTTATTTTTATTATGTGCGTCCTTATCTAACTTTTGATTTAAAATAATTTATAGAACAAAAAATAAAAACAAAAACTTCTGAACCATTCGATCACGATCTAACATTTAAGAGCTAACTTGTGATAGTGTGACTCAAGCTATCTCAGATCAGATCGGGATCACACGTACTAAACATGTGGCCGGGGTTCGATAGAAACATTTTCCCTTTACTCGCATGAGTTCCATGGTAAAAGCTAAAAATAATTGTCGAGGGCATTTACGTCATTTATTCAAATTGGTTAGCTAAAAAAGTCGTCACGTTTGTTACTCCTTTAAAACCCTCGTCTGTCTCGATTCTGCGTCACTGTCCTTCGGCCCCCCAACTTTGCCTCTCTATTAATTTTCTTCACTCTTTTGTATAGAAATCGCATTCTCTCTCTACTTTTACTCTCTTTCTAGAGAATCTAAATGGATTTAAGCAAAATTCGGGTTTCGTTTCGTATTTTTCTTTTTATTTCCTGCTGATTGCATCGAATTACTTTTTTGTTTTTTTATAAAAGTAGGGATCTAAGTCCTTCCTTTCATGACCTGCTAAATTTTAGCTTAGATTATTTGTTCTTCTCTTTTCATACTCGTTAGGTTTTATTTTGCTGTCTTAAAATTCATCATTATGTTTTTTAATTTTGTGTTTCTGTTTTCTCTGGTTTAATGTGAATCTTTTCGCCCATCTTTGTGTTTTCGTTGACTCAGAAGTGGATAAGTCTTTTTATTTTTTGATTTCTCAAAGAAAAGAAAGTTCTGATTTCTTCTATTTTTTTTTTCCTTATGCTGCCCTCTTGAAAGTTTTATGCTTGTTAAATTAGAGACAAAGCTAGGGTTTTTATCTAATTTTTCTCTGTGTTTTTAAATGCTTTGTAGATCTTGATACCTGAATTTTTTTTTATCCAAATATTCCCTGGAAAAATAAAATTTTTATAAGCTATTTTCATGGCGATCGATTTCGAATCTTTAACAGAGGCCACTTCTGGAGCTATTGGGTCCTTAGTGAGCACCACCGTTCTCTATCCCCTTGATACTTGCAAGACCAAGTACCAGGCTGATGTCCAAGCAGCTGGTCACCAGAAATACAGGTGCTTCATTTTCTTCTTCTTCATCTTATTTCTTTCTTTCTCTTGCTTGTTTTATGCTTTATATTTTTGGGTTTTTTTGTTTTTTTTTACAGTACTTTTTCTTTGTTGATTATTTCGAGCCTTTCCATTCCCTGTTAAATATCAGATGTATGAATTGTTTTCCTTAGAAATGTGATCTTTAGTGGGTTTTTGTTGTTATTCTTACGATTAATGGTTTCCATTCACATTCCTGTTTCTTATATTGGAAAAATTGTAGAAAGATGAATTCATTTTTAATTTGCAAAATCTCAGTATGGTTTACTACAAAAGAATAAAAGTTTAAGTAATATGTAGCAGTGATCATTGGAGAATTATTGGTGGGTTAGGATTTGGGTTGTACTAGTCATATTTGGTAAAACAGGGCAGGGTCTATTTGTATTTTATTATATTTTATTTGTATTTTATTATATTTTTGTTTGGACTCGGCGGAGTCTGTTACTATGATTCAGGCTCACTAGCCTAGCAAGTTCTGAGCCTAGTCCTTGCCTTTTAACAATACTGCTAGTTTTTTTAAATTTTAGGAGTAGGCTGCATTATTTTGTTTGTGATTATGCAGAACTGAGGATGTGGCTTTATGGGGGCATTTTGATTGTTCCATTCATTATTTTTTAAAGATATTTGTGTTTCTTCCATTCCTCGTCTCTTGATTCTAAGAGCTGATACTTTGAATTTGGCATGTTCTTCTATAATTAGGCTTCTAAGAGCTGATACTTTCAATTTGGCTTCTTCCATTCCTTGTCTCTTGATTCTAAGAGCTGATACTTTGAATTTGGCCTGATCTTCCATAATTAGGCTTCTAAGAGCTGATACTTTGAATTTGGCATGTTCTTCCATAATTAGGCTTATAGTAAATCTCCTTCAAGCAAACTATTTATTCAATGAGTCTATTGTTCATACTTGGAATATTTGCTTTTATTTGAAATTTTTAACATCATATGCCTTAGACAAACATAAAAGAGTTTATCTTTTTGGCAATCAATCTACAAATGTTGTTCATATATGGTAGTGTCGCATGGTTGGAAAGACAAAACTGCCTCTCTTGTGTATAAAATCCAGGCTCCCAAAATTCCCAGTCTCACATTACAAAAAAGGTATCATGCCATTTTTTGCTGGTTTTATTTGTGGGGGACTTGAAGCTTAATGTTTTGGGGCCTGCTCAATTGTGTTATCCTCTTTGTTTATGTTAAAATTGTATTTGGAAAAATAAGCATATGTTTTTCTAACGGGTTTCCTATTTCATTGCCGTGGGATTTGCAGGAACCTTTCAGATGTTCTATGGGAAGCAGTTTCTACTCGCCAGATTCTTTCCCTGTACCAGGGACTTGGAACGAAGAACTTACAATCGTTCATAGCCCAGTTCGTCTATTTTTATGGGTATAGTTATTTCAAGAGGCTTTATTTGGACAAGACTGGAGCTAAATCCATTGGGACAAAGGCAAACCTGGTTATCGCTGCTGCAGCAGGGGCCTGCACTGTTATAGTAACACAGGTGAAGCACCTCTTTGGCATTTTTCTCTGGGGCGGTTCATTGTTATGAATCGATGAATCGAACCTGGATTGCAGTGTTGTAATTGTCAACCAACTACTCTATAAAGCCCAACCCGAATCCTATTGCTTTCGCATTTTATATGGACTTTTTCAGCATATATTATTCTTATTTGATAATTACAAAGGCATGTTGCATTTTATTGGTATATTTATGTGAAAACCTTTTCCTGCTTATCTGCTTCTCTATGATAAAATAAAAATCGTTTGCAGTTAATCTCTTCAACTAAGCAATTATGCTAAAGAGCTTAGTATAAAGCGGAAGTGTATAGTACATAAACCAAGGGACATGACCCAATGGTGATACTGCTCTATCCAAGCTAGTACTAGAAGCAATGATGTTTTGTGATTTTCTTCTATTTATCATAAATTATGGACACTATGAGATTCTCATTATTATTATTTTTTTTTCATGTTTAATCAATAGCCATTGGATACAGCATCTTCCAGGATGCAAACTAGTGCCTTTGGAAAATCAAAAGGACTATGGGAAACTCTTTCAGAGGGTTCATGGAGAGAGGCTTTTGATGGCCTTGGTATATCTCTTCTGCTTACATCCAATCCGTCTATTCAGGTATTCAAGCTGGACTTATGGTGCTTGGGCCATGTAGCTGATTGGTACTTAGCTAAAATTATCTCTGAAGAATCAATTTGAACATTTATAACTTGACCGAATTTTGGGCATGGTCCATGTTTTGATACACATATATTTGTACGTAGAAACTGTGAAGGCTAATTATTCTCGATGGTTCTTTGCAATAATGATGATGGAGAAAGCAGCAATTTGAACTTACATGTTATCCTTTTCCATGGCATAGAACTTAGTTTTTTTGATATTTTAACATAATGATGTAATACTGTTTTTTTTGATATTTTAACATAATGATGTAATACTGTTTTTTTGATAATTTAACATAATGATGTAATACTGTCTTCAAGTTACTTCGTGTCTTTTCCGTTTAAATATATGATAGTTGGTTTGCTGCTGGAGAGTGCTGGCTTTGCAATAATCTCGTTCCAGTTTGTAATATGTAATGATTTGGTTTTATCAGTGTCTCAAATTCAGTTTGTGCTTCTTGAATATGATAATATTTATTGTTTTCATGTGTAGAATATCCTTATCTAGGAAAGATTGGAAGCTGGACTTGGTTTAGTTTTCCCTTTAGTAGAACTACTTGGTTTAGATGGTAATAGAACTACCTGGGTGTGCTGACTGCTGATGATTGCTAAGGAAGGATGGATGTTTCTGTATTTGTCACACACTGAAAGTTTATATGTAGATAAAAGTTCAAAAACCATAAATAAGAGAAATAAATCAAAGATTATAGGAAAGTGATTTGAGGAATTTCAGCCTGATGTAATTTATGTCTGTTCACATAAGATGTGACTTACCAACTCAAAAATTGAAACCTGCGTCATTATGCTTGATACTGTATTATACAAAATCTTCTGTTCAAAAGTGGTCCATTCATGACCAGAGTTATCATTTAGTATGATACACCCAATACTGAAATCATAATTTCTTTCGTGATAGTAATGTTAAAAACATCAATGAGGTGAGGGAAACTGTTAGATTTGTTTTTTCTTCTAAATTGCTGTGCTAAGTGTCATACATTTTAGAGAGCGATAGAACCGTAGAGATTTTTTATACTTCTTACTCAAAACCTTGGAGGCTCAGCCCTAATGCAATATCTGTTTGCAACCTCTCTCTCTCTCTCGACCATCCCTTTTTCCCTCTCTCGCAAATATCACCTCCAATTTCATTCTGGTTTTTTTAGTGCTGGGCCCTTATGCCTTTAAGTTTCTAACTGCTAAATCACGAGGTCGAATGCCTCCATGGTATTTAGTCTATAATTTGAGGTCATTGGGCATCAGTCATTGTCCATAAGATTCCGTTAGTCTGCAACTTTTGTTCTTGCATTTTTTATCCCCACACACCAGTTCGTGCTGCAGCTTGCTTAAAATTTAAACAATTTATTAATTCTACAAGGTTTGATTGGCTCTGTGTACCTATGGCTATAGTACTCTGAATTTATCAAGAGACATAAAAATGCTTGCAACATTGCTGAAGGATGAGCGTTTTGTGATGCCATGATACTAAGGATCAATTGTAGCTTCTTTCTGGGAAATGCAATTGGGTCTACATAGTTGTAAGGATTTGCTGCAAGGATAAATGGAGAGGATTTATGGATGCTTCGTTTCATAAAATTAGTTATTTAATACATAACTACAATGAGATATTTTCCCTTTTGGCAAGCAAAGATGGCTACCGTTAGATTTATCTTGTTATTATGACTGCTAGAGAGCGTGATCGATTTGTGGTGATCAAGTATTGATCCCTGGTTTTCTTAGACTTGTTGCATCGAAATGGCATTATTGTGCATGTATATTGAAATGGCTGGTTTGGTCCACGTATAAGAAACATTTATCAATTGGGCTATGACAAATCATAGTCCATTGGGGTCATATAATGATGGAGGGTGAGATCCATCACTGGAGTCTATCTCCTTTGGTGATGTATTGGGTTTTATTTTTTTTGTTTTCCTATTTTCTAGATTTAGGGTTTGGGATTATTTTGGGTTTCTAGTTGTCTTTAGGTGTGCTTTCGTTATTTTAGTTGTAAAGAATTGAGGGGAATGGTTGGAAGTTAAATATTGAATAGATGAAGGGTTATGATCCAATAAGTGTTTCTTAGGGAATGAGTTAGGTTTAGGGTAATTTTGTTCTATTAAATATATAACTATTCATCGAGAAAAAAAGAGGTGAAGAGCATAAGCGTTTATCTTGGGTCTTGTAAAGAGATCTTATAAGATAGACTCACTTGTAGACCTTGAGAGAGGGTATAATATCTCAAAATCTCCTCCCTTTACTTTTTTGTCTTATATTTTTCTGGTTTACTATCTTCTTCCTTCACCGTTCCCTGCATCATTTGGTCTCTCTCTCAGCTCATCACTGTCCATTTCACAGGACGGAAGTGAACTCAATATCCTGGAAGTTTCTGCAGTTCATTGGATTACTCATATTCTTTTGGTTGTTTGGCTTAGTTGGCATATAGGAGACGACTGGTCTAATAAAATAGCTAAAATGAATCGGCTAAATCTGTTAATTTAAGAGCAGGCTTTAATTCCCGCATGTGCTGTACATAATAGAGGAATAGGACAGTTCATTTGAATTCGAGTTGAATTGGGCAGATTTTGCTTAATTGATTTGGAACACAACCCTTTTCACCTAAAGCTTTTCTATGTTCAATTTGGCTGAAGCCTGAAACTAAGAACTTATAGGAGACCCTGTGTATCTTCTTCTTAGTTATCGACTTATAAATATTTTATTGTGTCACGGTATGGGGCTTATGCAAGGGTTATGATAAGTTGAAGGAGGACCTTGCTTTACAATACTTTGTATTCATTGAGAAGCATCACGGTCATTTTACTCTGTCGTCCTAAAAAGATATTTTAAACTATTGTACTAGCTGTGATGTGTTAGATTCAGATTTGGTAGTGGCCTTGAGATGATCACATATTTGTGCCTTTGGCTCCAATGACCACAAGGAATTTGGAAAATCTAGTAGGAGTCGGGGTGGCAAGGTAAAAAAGCTGTATGACAGGGTTTCTGGTTTTCTGTTGAACCATTGGCTGATCTTTTCCCATGAACTAAACTATGAACTTGCTTCAGATGGTGTTCATCTTGAAAGTTATCTTTCGTTGGGCTAATTTGCTTGTTAGCTTGCAATTGTAACTGGCATCAATTTGATTGAAACCATATCTCTCTCTTTATTTGCCTGAAGTTACATACACATGCATATGTACATGCATGAAGCCATACACACCCCCTTGAAGATGCCATTGCAGGGAGATTCTGTATAGATATTGGTGATTGTTTGTCCTCATCTATATACGTCAATTGCAAGTGTGGATTTTCTAAATTTTAGCTGTCTCCATCTGAATCACCAACATTTTAAATCTCAACAAAAAAGCAATCCAAATAGTAAAGCATGCACAGAAAAGCTCTTTGCTGATTTCTTTCTTGGGCGCAAACTTGGTGTTACAGTATACAGTATTTGATCAGTTGAAGCAACGGCTATTAAAGGGACAGCAGAAGACAACAGTAGGCACACCAGATTCATCTCCACAATCTCTTTCAGCCTTCTCTGCCTTCTTATTGGGTGCCATTTCAAAGAGCATCGCCACATGTTTGACTTATCCAGCTATCAGGTAGAATCATTCTGTCTCTCTGCCCCTCTGACTCTCTCATACACACACATAAATGTACATACACACACATAGACAGATGGTTACCAAAAGCTGAAAAGAAAGAATGTGCGGTTTGTTGGATGTCATACTAATGGGGATTGGGTTTGGTTGTCAGGTGTAAGGTTATGATTCAGTCCTCCGACTCGAAACAAGTTATGAATGGAGATGCTCAACTTCATTCCAAGCCTGCAAAAACATTCGTTGATGCATTGAATTTCATTTGGAAGAGAGAAGGGATTTTGGGTTTCTTCAAAGGGTTGCAGGCTCAGATTCTAAAGACTGTTTTGAGCTCGGCATTGCAGTTAATGATAAAGGAGAAGATCTCAAAGACCACTTGGGTGTTGATGCTGGCTCTTCAAAGATACGTCTTTGCCTCTAAGAAGAGAATCAAGCAAGCTTAGGTGTTAACGTTTATCTCTCTCTCATAATTCTCTGATGCGAATAATATGGCTGTGCGTTTTACGACGACAACCTGGGAGGAAATCTCTCTTGCATAGGTGGTTGGTTAAGCATCCTCCTAATCATATTTCCTTTGAGGCAGTGTCCTTCGTGATGCACTGTAATAAAGTTTTGGATTTTTTATTTTCTCTCTCTCCCCCTCTCTAGCAATGGATCTTTGGCAGTTTCCTTCGTGATGCACTGTAATAAAGTTTTGGATTCTTTATTTTTTCTCTCTCCCCCTCTATAGCAATGGATCTTTGCCTGTGTTTATGTAGTAGTTTGAAAAAGTTTTGCCATGACAAATGATTCTCTCAAATGTGTATAATCATATTGAGTTTATATATAGATTTTTTGTCCTCTCTCAAATGCATATAATCATATTGAGTTTATCTATAGATTTTTAGTCTAACCACTCTCAGTTTTGTCTAGTTTTATGCATCTGCAAGTGTGTGGTTGTGTATTTAGAATTTGGTTAGGTCGAGTTTATTGATGCCTTGAGTATATTTTCGCCTTATAATTTGTAAATGGTAAATAGCTGGAGGTGGGATAATAGTTATGTAAACCCAGTATTGGAAATGGCATGCATGGAAGGCATTCTCATAAAGAAAATTATATACGAAAGAAGAACATCAAGTACACACGAAGAACTTTCAAGTTAAAAACAAAAAGGTAAATGACATCATAAATTGGGTAGCTGGGGTGTATATGCTTATAAATTGGATAGGTTGCGAGAGGTTTTAGTTGGGTAGGGTATGTCACAATTGGGTAACTGGGTAGCAGTATGGTTCAGTTACTTTAGTTATACTACTAAGTATTTATGAGTTATACTCTATTGGCTACTAACTCCTAACTCATATGAGTATTTATGAGTTATACTCTAGTGGCTAAACTCAATGAGTATATATGAGTTACACTTTAGTGGCTCCGCGTGCATGACATCTAGATCCCCATCGAACGGAGAACCAACCGATCCCCATCGAACGGAGAACCAACCGTGCATGACAACTAGATCCCCATCATGACAACTAGATCCCCATCCGTGCATGACAACGAGATCCCCATCCAACGGAGAACCAACCGTACATGACAACTAGATCCCAGTCCGTGCATGACAACTAGATCCCCATCCAACGGAGAACCAACCGTCCATGACAACTAGAACCCCATCCAACAGTGCATGATAACTAGATCCCCATCCAACAGAGAAGAGAGAGAAGAGAGATTTGTATGAGATAATGCATCCCCACCAGATTTGTGTGAGATAATGAATCCCCACCATCCAATGCAATATTGACGTAGACGATCCAATATTCACGTAGACGATCCAAGACAACTAGATCCCATCGATCCAAAACAACTAGATCCCCATCCATCCAAGACAACTAGATCCCCATCCAACGGAGAGGAGGGAATTGTGTGTAAAAATGAATCCCACCATCCAACCGTGCAATCCCCAACAACTAGATCCACAGATCCCCATCCAACGGAGAGGAGAGATTTGTGTGACAATGAATCCCACCATCCAACCGTGCATGACAACTAGATCCCCAACAACTAGATCCAACCGTGCATGACAACTAGATCCCCAACAACTAGATACCAAGAGCGATTTATGTGAGGTAATGAATCTCCACCATCCAATGCAATATTCAATACCGAAGAAACATGGTTTCCTGTAGACGATCCAAGGGGTCCCTGTATTCCCTGGTCATTCAAGGGATTGCTGATATCACCCATCATCAACCTCTGCAAAAGCATCGAACATGCCAATGTTTACTGGGGCAGGTTTCTTTTGAAACATCAGTTCCTGACCGCCTTTCTTCACCCGCCAAACATCCTCACCATTTTAGTTTTTCTTCTTCATTGTTGATTCCCTGTTGTGAAGTACCTCTAAGCTGCGTTTGAATGTTTTGGTTCTTTCCATGGGACACTCCCATGCGTCTCCTATATAGTTCACCTCCTGTTGATTCCCCTATTGTGCGCCTCCTATATAGTTCACCTCATGTTGATTCCCCTATTGTGCGCCTCCTACATAGTTCACCTCTGTTGTGAAGTGACTTTCAGCTGCATTTGAATGTTTTGGTTCTTTCCATGGGATACTCCCATGCGCCTCCTGTTGTGAAGTGCCTCCAAGCTGTGTTTGAATGTTTTGGTTCTTTACATGGGATACGCCCATGCGCCTCCTACATAATTGGCCAAGAGACTTGCATTTCTTGCCCTCCACCTGTTGATTCCCCTGTCTTGTATTTCTTGCACACCACCTGTTGGTTCACAACATGCCACACCACCTGTTGATTCCCCTGTTGTGAAGTGCCTCTAAGCTGTGTTTAAATGTTTTGGTTCTTTCCATGGGATACTCCCATGCCCCTCCTATATAGTTCACCTCTGTGCCAAGAGACTTGCATTTCTTGCACACCACCAGTATAAATTCATATATAATTTTTTACCGCACTACGCAACTCTAAGTTAACCAAAAATATCCTCTGGGCACTCACCAACAATTTTCATTTCTTCATTTCTACATAGAACCTTGCCTCTCCTCTAGTTTTTCAAATGTGTTGGCTTATCCATAAAAATTGGCTTTCATTTCTTCATTTCTACCTAGACCCTTGACTCTCCCCTAGTTTTCAAATGTGTTTGCCTGAATACCACTACCTAGTTTTCAAATGTGTTGGCCTATCCATAAAAATTGGCTTTCCGACCAACACAGCTACTTTAAATAAGATTTCGTCTCCCAATAGACAAATGTGTTGGCCTATCCATAAAAATTGGCTTTCTCACCAACACAGCTACTTTAAATAAGATTTCGGCTCCCAATAGAGAAAAGGAAGTTCAGGCATCTTGATCCAAACTGGAATAGCTAGAAGACATGACATTAGGAATCCATTTTTGTAGAACTAACACCTCCGCCCCCAATCATTGCAATCTTCATCTCTTCAATTGTAGGAATCCATTTTTGTAGAACTAGACACTTCAACCCCAGTCATTGCAATCTCCATCTCTTCAATCGCTTTAAATCTAAAGCACAGAAAACCATCATTACGCTAGATGATCTCCAAATAGATTGGACTGAGGCGCCACATTTTTAACCAAGTTCTAAGCGCCACATTTTTAACCAAGTTTTGATATACTTCTAGTCACCACATTTTTAACCAAGTTTTGATATACTTCTATTCAGGCTTGCTACCAAAAAATAACCAAGTAGTAAATGACTTCATCTATCTGCACAACTTTTATACGTCTTTTCATCAATAACAGCGCATCGCTTGCCTTCAACAATTAATGAGGTTCCATTGTTTTATTCTCAAAATACGCAATCGCATTTTGTACATCCTGTCGAAGACGATGAATTGTTCATCCATACATTCTGCTAGCAGTAAAGATGTGTAGGTCATCACCTAGTGAAGAATGCTAGCAGTAAAGATACTTAGGTCATCATCTAGTGAAGAAAGCTCTACATCCTGATGCGGGAGGCAACAAGATCAATACGAATGGAAAAAGGAGATGGGAAGTTATTCAGGGACAAAATGGGAGTAGAGGATCCCCAATCGGATGTGTGAGATTGCCATTACCAGGCACAACAGATCTAAACTCAACCATGTTACGCGTTCTTTAAACTCTTGGCTCGTAAAAGTAAATTGGAGAAAGAGAAAGACTGCCCTCATAAGAGGATGAATCCAGAGTTAAAGAAAGTCAAAGTATCTCATGTTTACGTTATGGCCTCTTTGTAAGAGGGTAGATGATCATTTAATCGGGTCGGTTTTTACTGCTTTGTAATAGGGTAGATGATCATTTAATCGGGTCGGTTTTTACTGCTTTGTAATAAGGTAGATGATCATTTAATCGGGTCGGTTTTTAGAAGTCTTCAAAATATAATTTGTTGGACGTATTTATATAGATGATTTTGAAAAGTTGTTTTTCTCTTTCGATGTCTCTATAATATTGCATTAAACATGATTAAAAAAATTACTAAAAAAATATTTATATATTCGAAGATTAAAAAGAATAATGCCTCTGATAGACTGAAATTAGTATAACATGAAGCATTTGTTAATTCTCACTACTCATCCAAAATTATTAATTATTATTATTAATATAAACCATAAAACGTGAAATTCCAATATTTTATTTTGTGTTTTATTTATAAAATCATTAATTTTTTCAAATAAATATAAGAATTAAAAATAAAAGTATCAATATGAGTTTACGATTAATAAAACTGGAAACTATTGTTGAAAATTCAGTTATTTAATATGTTAAAAAAATAAAAAAAATATTACTTACCCACAATATTCAGTCTACTCCAATATCTCAAGTACCATGACAATGCATGCATAATTATTCTATCTAAAATCATTTAAAAAATAATTATTCTACCTAAATAACCAAGTTTATTAGCAGAAGCAAGGATCTTTATATAACCAAACCATCACGACGAAAATACTAGAACCATACAAAATTCATGTTGAGAAACACAATAATAGCATGTCACAAGAACATGTTGAGATCAACCAAAAGCATGGTGAAAGATTATACAAGTATTCGTTGTTGACATTGGGGGTTTTACAACTTTTTAAGTATCTTGTTTTTTAAATGAAAATAATACAACTTTCGTCATAGTAGCACCGGTTAGACGTAAGTTTATGTGAGCGGACCTATATGGTGGTGCTGCAAGACCAAATTGTGTGTTTGATACAACTGGCAAACAATCTACCAATTTTTATGAATATAAGTTTTTTTTTGAAAAAAAAATATGAATGAAAGTTTTATAAAAGCATCTTTCATTCACGTTATTGTTACTAATAATTTTTAAGCTCCTAAAGACTTTTAATTTAAGATTATATACTATAATTTAATTTAAAAACCTCGTGATCTAGATCGGGAATTGCTAATTTGGATTAAGAATTAGCCAAGATTGAACCAGTTCCCAGAAGATATCAGGCCAAACTCGTTCCCCTAAAACACCCTTTCATATATATTTTTTTCTCCTTTTTTTTTTAAGCATATCAAGTCTCTTTTTAGGTCCCCAGTAATGCACACACCCATAAACCCCTATTCTAATTTTTACTTTTATTATTTAAATATTTTTCGAATCATCGATTGGAATCAGATAAACAATCTTTCTTGTAGAACATTATCTAGACCATTTGGTTCCAAGTATTTATTGATTTGCTAGATCACCACTACTTTTAAAATTTTAAATTTTATAATTATTGTAAAAATAAAATTTCAACCCACCTGAGCAACATTTTTCAGCGGTGTTTGGAGGTGCATCCT